AATGTGTTGCAAGATGCTACTTATTTTTAAGTAACTACTAAAATTTCTTTTTTTTTATACATTCATACATCTCGATGGATTTTTGAGGTGCATATGTAATTCTACATTTTAAGGTTGCAATCTTATATGAACTTTTTCCATAAAACAAAAGGAAAAATAGATGGGCACTTCCAACAGAACCGGTATTGTTTAATATAACACAATAAAATAACAATTTTCAAAAAAGAACAAGAAGGTAATGAAATGGAAGTCAGAACTCACAAGGTCATAGAAATATGACAAGCTACCCACACTGGCAAATATATTTCACGAACAAGACATCAAAAAAATCTACTTGAAGCTTCCAAACTGCTGGTCCATAGTAGTCGAGCCAAAACCCGAGATAGCTAAACCAGATCCGCTCCCCATGGCTCTTCCCATGTATGAAATTGGTGCCCTTTGGCTCTCTATCTTCTGCTCATAACCATCACTTAGACCCACTATTCCAATATCTGCAAGTGAAGTCTTCTTGGCTGCACGGATTTTATCAAGAAACACTATCACAAACTAAAGGAGAACACAACATATACCCATGCGTACATACAAAGATAAAGTCAGAACTATCAACAAAACCCATCATTTAGGACCATAATTGCAATACCAGCAATGCTTGCTTAGGTGGGTAAATGCCAGAATGCACAATCTCAAACCCAAGAACAGACAGACGTAAAATACTTGCGCATATTCTTTATATAAAGATATGCATAGAAAAGAGAGGCACATGAAGGTAAAGACATGCATGTGTGTCTCATGTAATCTGTGTCTCATGTATATTGTATGCACTTGTGCCTGGATGTTTATGTGTATGAATGTTCATCTGTATGCATATTGCATGCTACATACAGGTGACTAGGTGTGTGCATGTGTATGTACATGAACACTGCATGTGTACGCATTATGCTCGTGTATCCTCGCTAATGTGTATGCATGTTGCCATGGAGGGAAAAAGGGCATTGTGTAAAGCATGCACAGCCACATACACAGAAAAAGAACAAAACACTGAACTTTGGAAGCAACATAGACCAACTTACGTGCAGTTATATTCAGATCAATCAAGCCTCGACTTAATGAATCTGCCCATATCCCAGACTTGACTTTGAAATTATCATTCTTTGGTGGTGGTTTGGTATTGGGTGCAGTATTTGTGTTAGGGTTTGGACCTTTATTTGTGGAGTTACGTAAGGATTCTGAAGGTGCCTGATCTGCATGAGAGGTAAAATCCCCAAATGTATCCCCGCTATCCAACGGATCCAATGGTATTGTGGCAAACGGATCCAAGGAGCTCCGTGGTTTGGATGTTGGTAGCTGGGTTTCAACTGATTTGGTTTCCATAGAAGGGGCTGTATTCTCGTTGAATGAAGAAAAGAAGTCTATATTTGATGGAAATGCAGCTGTGGAAGCAGGTTGGGAGAAGAAATCAACATCAACCTGCAAACAATGCATCATGAAAATTTATTATGAAAGAAAAATACAGAAAACACTATACTAATTCGAATTTAAGGTTTAAAAAAAAAAAAAGACAATTCAAGAAAAGCAAAACTCGTGAAAGCAATAAATTGAAAGGAAAAGAAGATGGTTGCGAGAAATGTTATGATGCATGAATACTAGAAGAATCCAAAAGTGTTACAAATAAGTTCAAATGAATGAGAAAGATAACACACAGAAATGCATACGCACATGCACGCGCACACGCGCGCACACACAGGGATGCACGAGCGTGGGCACACACATTCACAGACCCACACACCCATGCATGCACATGAACCCATGAGAGAGAGAGAGAGAATGAGACGCACTAGTGTGGGCGCACACATTCACACACCCACAGATGCATGCATGTGGATGCACCCATGAGAGAGAGAGAGAGAGAGAGAGAGAGAGAGAGAGAGGAGGAGGAGGAGGAGAGTAATATAGAGAGACGAACGAATAGTAGTAGTAGTAGTAGTAGTAAGAAGTAAGTAACGTACGACGAACGAACGAACGAAGAAAGAAGAGAACGT